TTTGAAAAATCCTTATTTATCCGGGAGAGCAGAAGGAGTTCGTCCATTTTGTTGGGTAGAGAACGGAGGTTCGCCAGATGGATGCTAGTCAACGGCGTTCTGAATCCAAACTGCGGAGCACACCACGGAGGCAGCCATCAGCGTCAGCGCCATCATATGATGGTGATAAATCATCATATGATTTATGTGATAAATCATATGATGATAACATATGATTTATGATCGTATGATAAATCATCATACGATCATATGATGATGATGATAAATCATCATATGATTTATATTATCTAAATATGATTTAGAATGCATGTAAAACTGACTGTAGCTGCGTCCCAAATGAGGCACACTATGCACTTATACACTATGTACTTATGTACTCAACCATGTAGTGTATGAATTATATAAGGTTATTTTGTCATTCATAAACGGAGTCTGATAGCCCCTCCCCCTTCACTATGTGGTTAAAGCTGCGACAGTTGAGTGCATGAAGTGTTCAACATTGCACACTTAGTTTTTTCGGTTATTTAAGTGCATCATCCGGGTATTTAAAGTGCACATTTTCTTTTTGGAATTTTCAGTGTGAACAATGCTCACACTATTTATACTACAAAACGTCACAGAATAGTGCATAAGTACGCGATTTGGGACACCTTCTGTCTATCAGATGTTTGTACACAGCAGATGCTTTTCAGATGAAGTGATGTTTAACAGACATCTTGCAGATGTACGTGTGCTATCTATGAAAGGGATTTCTATATTTTAACCATGCAATAGCCTACATAAACGATCCAAGTTCGAACTTCCGTTAATGAGACACATAAGAGAGTGAAAACATTATCATAATCTACCACACTTGCAGAGGGAGCATCCTCAATTGAAACTAATAATAGCATATTGGCGAAACAGATTTTGTCAAATGTTTCTATTTACAACATGTTTTTGCAGCAATGAGCAATGTAGCCAATCACAGACATATCTGTTGTTTGTGAGGTCGTGATGACTAAGATGAGTGACAGCTTTTTAATGATTAAAAAGGTAGTTTGAAAATGTGATATTGATTTTCAGCAGTTCATTAAACAAGAAGTTAATGTTTAGTGACTTTTTTTAGGAACGCTGTTGTTTGATTTCGCTCTATTTCATCAATAATGATAATAGTTCAAAACAAAGTCACAGCTGAGCCGTTGATACTGATTTCATTTGATCGGTTACTCCTTTTTCCCGATTGTGTCTTATTATTGAATGTATTGTTTTAATTAAAAAAAATTTAAAAAGTTAATTAATGACACATTTAATAAGGATAGAAATGTATCTTTAATTTGGCCAGAATTACACAGGGTTCCTGTCTTGATACTCAAGAAAACATATGGTTTAGAGAAAACATGAAATAATTGTAATGTTATTATAGATTATAAAAATGTTTTAATTAAATACATCTGAAAAGTAGTCTAAATTGGTTTCTTAGTCAACAGTTATTGTGAATAATGGCCTGATTTATACAGTACTTGATCCATCCATAAGACTGTTGAATAAGAATCTGGTGCAAAAACCAGGACTCTTCACACATGACGTTTTATAAAAAAAAAAAAAAAAAAAAGAACGTTTTTTAATGTATTCCAATTATTCAAAATAATTATAGAAAAAGATGCAATGAAAACAAAAACAAAAAAAGAATGTCTTTATATTGACAAGTTTAATTTGGGGGTTAACTGTTTTGTTTATATATTTGTAACTTCTTATAGAATGTGAAACTTTCAGGCTAGTTATATAAGCCTGTTTTGTGTGTGTGTAAAATCTATTTGTGAATGTGTTTTCTCATGTTTGGCTATTTAGCCTTAACAATTATACACTCTCTCAAAAAAAAAAAAAAAACATTACTGAGCCAATACCCTCTTAAAAGGTACCTTTGTACCTTTTTTATCACAAAATAAAATGAGGGTCCTCAACGTCTAGATTATAATACATATGAGTTACAGATAATTGATGTAGACATACAGTAAAATAATTCCATTATAGCACCTCAGCACAAATATTTATTTAAAAAATATATATATCTCTCACACACATACAAAGATTTCCACAGTGATTAAAATGGTCCAGTGTTGAATCAATAGAAATCAATAAAAGTACAGTACACTTATAGTATTATTACAATACAATCAGCTTGTAACACTCCAAAGAGAAAGGAAAACTTGAAATCGCATCATATGACCCCTTTAAGAGATCTGTTAAAGAGTCCAGAAGGCAATCGAATGACATAAAGTGATGTATGGAATGTTCTGTTTCCTGATGAGGGTACCAGAGGTTCAATTTACAACATCCAAAGTTTGGCATGTCTACCCAACTGAAAAACAAAAGCAAACAAAAAACAAGAAAATCATAGTAAGGCCTACTAATAAAACAAAAACTTGCTTCTTTTTTTTTTTTTGTCTATATCATTTCCATATTTATATTTTTTATTATTAGCTATAATGGTTAGGATAGTGCTGAAGATTTTTATTATTTATGTATAATTTATTATTATTATTATTATTATTTCATTTGATAAATATCTCCTCACCTTCCATGTGGAGCGATGTTGGTATGATATGGAAAGGGTCTCCAGCGTCTCGATCATACAAGTGTTGGAGCAGCACATTTTTAACCATCTTTAGACTCAGAGTGTAGTGTATCAACTCCTCATGTTCTAAAGGCATCATGAACTGGAGCTTAAACTGGGCTGTAGTGTCTCTGTATCGAAGCACAGTGTTAAAAAGTCATTTCGGTCAACTTTAACTTGATATAAATGAGATGTGTTTGCCTGGGCCACACCAAAAATGAGTGGACAAGACTTAAAGGCACACTATGGTATGGACAAGCAAATAGTTGTAAAATGTGTCAGTGGAGTGTAAAATTGACTCACTGGAGATTGTTTATGGTGACACTGTTAAAGTACCGCTCCAATGCAGGAGAAGAACTGTAGACTTCCATCAACTGAGGGTTGATCATGGTGTATGGGAGAAACAGACATAGAGTGAATGAGTAATCATACATGTACATAGCAAAAAAAACAAAGCAGTGCTGTTTTTTTTCATTCTACTCCTGGATGTTTAACTTATCTAAAACACGTGCTTGAGTCAGTCTACTACTGAGCTCTGTTAAATCAGATGTGTTAGATAAGCAAAACATCCCAAATATGCAGTGCTGTGCCGCTAAGGAACAGCACTGAGAAGGAAAATAAAAACACACACTACCACTGTGAAAGCAGAAGTGCAAGTTGTGGCGCATCCTGCTCAGGGCGGTTAGTTCACCCATAAAATGAACATTTCACCATTATTTACTCACCCTCAAGTTGTTCCAAATCTCTCAGACTTACTTTCTTCAGTGGATCACAAATGGTGGGTTTTTACAGAAACTCTTGATTTGTGCAGTAGCTTTAAACAGTGATGTCCAATGAAAGCATAGTTCTTTTGAGTCAGATTCTTTTCCACAAATAAAGAAAGTCATACAAGTTTGGAATGACATGAGGGTGAATAAATGACGTCAGGAGGGAATTTTCATGAGTGAACCATTTTTGGGTAAACTATTCCTTTAAGACAGATGTCCTTAATGACAATGATTCAAGGTTTGCATTGTCACAAAAAAATGTATTTCAAATAAATGCTGCTCTTTTGAACTTTCTATTAATCAAAGGATTCTGGAAAAAAAGTCTTATGGTTTCCAAAAAAGTATTAAAGGTTTTCAACATTGATAATAAAAATGTAAAATAATTCAGCAGCAAATCAGCATATTTTATTTTTTATATTTTCATTTATTTTATTTTCATATTATCAAGTGGCTCTGAAGATTGGAGTAATGATACTGAAAATTCAGCTTTACATCACAGAAATAAATTACATTTGAAAATATATTCAAATAGAACAGTTTTTTATTTTTTAATTCTATTATTTTACAATATTACCGTTTTTTTCTGCTTCTAAACCCCGAAATGTCTTGCTTCATAGACACCCCATGTACGTGTTGTAAATGCACTTTTTATTTGTGCATACAAACTGGGACGAGTTAAAATCATTTTCTGTGTAAATTGATAACATGTCAGATGCTGTCCATAGAGTCTAGCTTGTACTAAACATGGAACATTTATTTAGTTTCAGATTCAAGATTAGTCAGGGAAATCATGTGAAACATTTTTTTTTTTAAAGAAAAAAAAAAGGTGAATATTTAATCTTTAAATCTATATTTATTTTTAAAAAATAAATGCATGTCTCTGACTTTCTTCACACGTCAGAGTTTGATCTGTGTTAAGTTACATAAAGCTTATGAATGGGTTTCTCAAAAATGCTTCACAGGTATCTACCATTTCTAGTATTGAATAGATCATTCTTGTTATTACCTGCTGTTCCAGCTCTATCATAGTCTCTTCATCCTGAGAGTCTGAAGTGAAATTGTTAGCATCCAGAGTAAAATTTCCTCTGAAGAAGCGTGCCACCACAAATGATGATTTGTCATATTTTTCATCCTCATCGTCATGAACAACTTTAAAACACAGAGGGTTGCAAAACAAAACTAAAATACAATCAGAATGTTAATCAGGAATTACTTCAGAAACATATGCTGTGGTTCAGTCATCTTGAAAACAGCTGACATTTTGGCGAATGTAAAGAGGAAGGCTCGTCTGATCTCATAATTTTAAACATCAGTATCAGAAGACCAAGCCAGATATGACTGGTGTCAGCTAAAAATTCATGATGCACTTGGCCAAAAACGAAATGTTATTTAATAATCAATTAATTAATCAAATGTTTTTGATAAATCAACACTCACATAAAAATGAGTCGTACAATTACGAGACATGAGATATTTCAGTAAGTTGTATTGTTTCTTTCAACATACAGTACATTATGATGTTCATTTTGTGCTAGAACTACAATTAAAGAGAAAAAAGTTGCAATCTGTTATGCCACAATAGGAGTGTTAAACGTTAAAAAAAATTATTGTTTGTATTTTGTGATAAAATTGACAGAATTTGAAAGCTGAGACTTTGTTTCCTATTAAAAGTGCATAAAAACAGCAGAATGCATAGCCTAACAAATTGGACTGGGAACATTAGAAATAGCATTCACAGAAGACAAAGAATCTGAATGGAGCATCAGTACCTGCACACACAATAATTGAGATCCCAATAATCAGAGCAATGGCAATAAAGATGAGAAGTAGCAATGTCCATAGTTTGAGTTTCCACACCACCACCTCATTCAATTCTCTCTTGACCCTCCGCAGCTCCCTTTGCCACTGCAAACACAAAGAGGTAGGGGCCTATGAAATCCGTTACAATTTTTCTGGATTCTGTTTTTATTTTTTTTTCTGTTTAAATTTTTATAGACTCTGTTTTAATGGTTACATTAAATTTTATTAATCAAACAGCATGTCTAATTGGTATAAATCATGAAACGTACACAATTTAACAGCAATTTATTAAAAGTTTAACAAAAATAACATTTTTGAATTATTTACATATTTGAGGCACTATAAGTTTTTATTTTTTTGTTTCTAAAAATTCATTTTATTTTTACCAAATTCTGTGTTTTCCATTAATTTTCTGGATTCCATTTTAATGGTTTCATTACATTTTAATAATCAAAAGAATCTCTAAATAACAGATTTTATTTAAAAAAAAAAAAAATTCTTAGAAATACTTGTGTATTGCATTTAGTGTATTTAGTGTTGTGTATTTAGATTTTTCTGGTAATTTTTTTTTTGTAAATATTCCTTAATGTTTTAATAATTTTATTAGTAGTAGTGGTACTATCATTACATTCATTAATATATTTCTGTCACAGTTTCTTCAAGTTAAACCAAACTTTTATTTTTGACGAGTTGCTTCATGAAACGTACACAATTTAACAGCAATTTATTAAAAGTTTAACAAAAATAACATTTTTGAATTATTTACATATTTGAGGCACTATAAGTTTTTATTTTTTTGTTTCTAAAAATTCATTTTATTTTTACCAAATTCTGTGTTTTCCATTAATTTTCTGGATTCCATTTTAATGGTTTCATTACATTTTAATAATCAAAAGAATCTCTAAATAACAGATTTTATTTAAAAAAAAAAAATTCTTAGAAATACTTGTGTATTGCATTTAGTGTATTTAGGGTTGTGTATTTAGATTTTTCTGGTAATTTTTTTTTTGTAAATATTCCTTAATGTTTTAATAATTTTATTAATAGTAGTGGTACTATCATTACATTCATTAATATATTTCTGTCACAGTTTCTTCAAGTTAAACCAAACTTTTATTTTTGACGAGTTGCTGTAAAGACCTTTGAGTTTCTGTTTGTATATGATATGACGATAGTTTTTCTCAAAAGAAACTTTAAAATGCTTATGAAGTGACTCTCAGAGCAGACCTAGAGATTATGTTCATGTATTCATGTATATATTGAGGCGGCAGAGGCTGAAAACAACACAAGTGTCTCAGGTGCTTCAGTATGTGTGTAGTAAACAAAACCTTGCATCTGTGCCATTCATTCACAAAGAGACACGCAGAACATGAAGGATTCATATTTAAATGCATATTTTGCGGCTTAATATTCACAGACACTAGTCCATATCACGTTTTGATTTAAGTGTACTGACATACTTTTGATTTATTCATCTAAAAATTTGCAAATTCTGTGACATTCCACGTTATACAGTAAATTCCATTTTTATGACTGGACTCTGCGATTCCGTACGCATTTTCCACATCGTGGAAATCATAGGGCCCTACAGAGGAACAGCCACAAGGCTTTCTTACTTTACCTCAGCATTGTTTAACTGTTTAAATTACAGTAGACATATTTGCTTATGTCAGTGGTTTCCAATCTTGGTCCTGGAGAAACCCCAGCATTACACATTTTAGATGTCTCCCTAATCAACACAACTGATTCAACTCATCAGCTCATTAGTAAAGACTACAAGACCTCAAATGTGTTTTTCAGATAAGAGAGACATCAAAAATGTATCATTTCCACATGTAGACATACTCCAGGTAATGGCTTGTTGCTTTTCAAATGTACCTTGGGTTGAGTTAGAGAGTCAATATCGACTCCATCCCCATGGAGGTGCTGTTCCCTATTGTTCTCAGTGACCTGAAAACACACAAATCCAGATAGACCAGTCAAACTAAACTGAAGGATCAGTTTGCAGCCTAAAAATCTGCACGCAGTACAAGGTGTCAGGGCAGACATAATAAGTGGAGCTTACTTGAATAACCTAATTATGAGTGAAACAACGTATTGTAGAGATTAGTTTGTCAATTTTTGTATTTGTCAATCAGGGGAGCGTTTCCCAAAAGCAACTATGGTCACAAGCAACTAAATTCACCGTCATTGTGAATGTATCTTAAAATAGATTTGCTTTGGTTCAAAACCATTATAGTTTCATTCAATCAATTAATTTCTTCAGCCAATCAAAAGTTATGAGTAAGAGGCATATACCTGTGGTGTTACTAGAAGAGGGGACACTTCGTTTCTCTCTGATCTTAGGTGGTCTGAGCAAGTGCCATTCCCTGGAATCACCTGTGAACATTTGTGACATAATTTATACGATATATACATACATTAAGAGAAAAACAGTTGCAGTGTATATATCTTTAGACAACAGCCACTAACAAAACAGTAAAAACATTAAAATGGTACAGGCCAGGGGCAATGAAGAGGGTCCATAATAAAGAAAAGAGTACATCTTTTAAATGTGCCAAGTGTTCCAGGTGTGTTTTAAAAAGTACTCTTTAGTCATGTTTGTTTCATATGTTTTGAATACATACATATACATATTTATGTGTGTGTGTGTGTGTGTATGTATGTATGTATGTATGTATGTATGTATATATATAAAGAATTATTAATAAATTATCATAAACAACTTTACATTTTTGAGAATCATACCACATGACATTTTACAACCTGGGCCAGCCTTGCTAAAACATTAAAATGGTACAGGCCAGGGGCAATGAAGAGGGTCCATAATAAAGAAAAGAGTACATCTTTTAAATGTGCCAAGTGTTCCAGGTGTGTTTTAAAAAGTACTCTTTAGTCATGTTTGTTTCATATGTTTTGAATACATACATATACATATTTATGTGTGTGTGTGTGTGTGTATGTATGTATGTATGTATGTATGTATGTATATATATAAAGAATTATTAATAAATTATCATAAACAACTTTACATTTTTGAGAATCATACCACATGACATTTTACAACCTGGGCCAGCCTTGCTAAAACATTAAAATGGTACAGGCCAGGGGCAATGAAGAGGGTCCATAATAAAGAAAAGAGTACATCTTTTAAATGTGCCAAGTGTTCCAGGTGTGTTTTAAAAAGTACTCTTTAGTCATGTTTGTTTCATATGTTTTGAATACATACATATACATATTTATGTGTGTGTGTGTGTGTGTATGTATGTATGTATGTATGTATGTATGTATGTATGTATGTATGTATGTATGTATGTATGTATGTATGTATGTATGTATGTATGTATGTATGTATGTATGTATGTATATATATAAAGAATTATTAATAAATTATCATAAACAACTTTACATTTTTGAGAATCATACCACATGACATTTTACAACCTGGGCCAGCCTTGCTAAAACATTAAAATGGTACAGGCCAGGGGCAATGAAGAGGGTCCATAATAAAGAAAAGAGTACATCTTTTAAATGTGCCATTTTAAAATGTAGTCATGTTTGTTTCATATGTTTTGTATATATATATATATATATATATATATATATATATATATGTGTGTGTGTGTGTGTGTGTGTGTGTGTGTGTGTGTGTGTACAGTGTGTGTGTTTGTGTTTGTATGTATGTACAGTATATATATATACAACCTGGGCCAGCCTTGCTTTATCATAAAAAGGCCAGATTATAAGATATTTCAAGAGACGTATTGACTTTTTATGGCCATGTACCATAGTAATCATATCCTTTTCAAAAGAACCACTAAACTAGATGAAGATCTGCCTGGCTAGGCTGGGAAACCAGTTTAAACCAGCGAATATCATCTTAAATTAGCTAAAACCAGCAAACGAGGTTAGACTTTTCATCTGGGAACATGGTATTCTACCTTGGAGTACAATGTAGCCTAAATAAATATGAATATGAATATGGTAATCATTCAGGTCATGGCATGTATTTAGATAAGCATTAAGGTACCACCACAGGACCTTTTGAATGGGATTAAAAAGTTACAAATAAAAAAGTTTTTCTTTCCATAGATCTTACGATCAAAACGAAACAACAATGGAAGACACTCAGGGTAAAACTTTAGTGTTCTTAGTAGAGATGGACGTTTGCGCACTTGCACAATCTTGAGTAACTAAACGTGTCAATGATCTGAAGACAAGATGAATAAAGGATACATTTTTGACATCTTACCTCAATCGTTTGGTCACTCGAGACGTTATTGTTGTCACAGACAACTTGAATGGGCTTCAACTCCAGCGCGTCGCTCATACTTCCATAGTCACCAGCCCAGCCTGCGGAAACACCCGGAACTGAGGCGTGTAAAAACGGGTTGCGAAAACGTTTCACCGGGTTTGTGTTGTGGTTAGTGAACAATGTTCCCAATTGTTACATTAACTAATAAAGGATCAATCATTTGATTCCAGGTCTCTTTTCAATGTGGATGCAGCTGATAATGATATACAGATGAAATCCAAGTGTTAAAGAGCGTCTCGTATTTCAGTTAGAATTTGACTAAGTAACTTGCCCCCCCCCCCCAAATTTGAATCGTATCACACCAAACAAATGTGTGTGCAATGTGCCAGCATAACTTTTATGTCAAGAGGAAATTACTCAAAGTGAGAACGCATGCAGAGACCACGTGCCTCAGAGAGAATAAGCTTGATATATTAATCAGAGCTACACCAAAAAAAAAAAAGATACAGGAAACGAAAATATTTAATTCAGTCACGTTCACATAGTAAGAAATAAGCTATCCAAGTGTTAGTTAGTATCTGTCTGTGCAGGACCGGTCTCCAGGGAAATTCGTAATGGCACCCAGGATGGAATATGCATATGGGCATCTTCCGTCACCCTGATGCAGAGGCGGACTTAACCATTAGGCAAAGGTTGGCGACCGCGTTGGGCCCCCAAAAGCCAAGGGCCCCCTAAAATGCTTTTATATGCGAGATGCGCGTTCAATGCGGACGCGCAAGTGGTTGCTGTGGTGTTCATTAGCACGACAACCGTCTGTGCGTCCGCGTTGAACGTGCTTCTTAGCAAAAGTAAGGCGATGTAGAAAATGGGGACGGAATCACGGAATCTATTCATAAAAACGGAGTTTACTGTGTAACGCGGAATGTGGCGGAATCAGAGGTGGAAAGATTACTGAAAAAATTTTCAAGAGCCGGTGTGAATAAATATAGATTTCAATTCAAAGAGACAGGATAGTCTGTGCATGATCTGATGTTTTATTTGGACCCAGAATAAGGCGAGATGAACATCACAGAGCGCTAAACACTCATGCAGTGTATGTTTCATTCATACCCGAAGCCACGCAGAAAGTCGTACGAGGAAATTCTTACAGCAAAACAGTACAATTTTGAAATATTTTTTACTAGGCTATTTCAAATAACTGTTTTCTATTTGAATATACTTTAAAATATAATTTATAGTGATTTTAAATCTGAATATTTAGCATAATTACTCCAGTCACACGATCCTTCAGAAATTATTCTGATTTGCTGCTCAAAAAACATTTATTATTATTATGATGTTTAAAACAGTTGAGTAGAATTTTTTCAGGTTTCTTTGATGAAGATGATGAATAGAAAGTCCAGAAGAACCGCATTGATCTGAGATAGAAACCTTTTGTAACATTATAAATGTCTTTATTATCACTTGTGATCAATTTAAAGCATCCTTGCTAAATAAAAGTGTTGATTTCTATTTCTTTTTCAAAAAATAAAAATGATACTGACTCTAAGCTTTTGAATGGTATAGTGTATAATGTTACAAAAGCTTTTTATTTCACATAAATGCTGATCTTTGGATCTTTCTATTCATCAAAGAATCCTGAAAAAATGTGCTCAACTGTTTTAAATATTGATAATAATTATTATTATTAAAAAAGGTTTCTTGAGCAGCTTGAGCAGCAAATCAATTTAAAATATATTCAGATAGAAAGCAGTTATTTTAAATAGTAAAAATATTTCACAACATTACTGCCTTTGCTGTACTTTGGATCAAAAAAATGCAGGCTTGGTGAGCACAAGACACTTCTTAAAAACATTAAAAATCTTTGGTAAGATATATCTTTCGAGTCTTCTTAGCGCGATAAGAGTGAGCGTTATCGGGGAACCGGGCCCAGATGCTTGAAGAATGCGCTTCCAGCAGCCATGAGAAACAGTTGGCGGTTAAAGTTTTCTGTGCACAATTTAATTTGACGAAAGTCACGAGACTTATAACTCTCTATCCAATCACGTTGATGGATAAAAATAAAATTAAAATAAGCATGTAACGACCACAAACGGAGGAAAATAGCGGAGTAAAAGTACCGATACAATGTACTCAAGTAAAAGTAAAAGTACACCATTTTTAAGCTACTCAAAAAATTACTGATAAAAAACTACTTAATTACTGTAACGTGAGTATTTGTAATTCGTTACTTCACACCCCTGGACGGAATGAACGGCGCAGACGCGCGTTTCGTTTGCTATTTAAGCACGAGCAACGCTCGCGGTTGTCGTCTGTAGAAGCTAAATAGTATTTTTTCCATTTAATATTCACATACACTAGTCCATATCGCGGTTTGAGTGAAGTGTACTGAATTGCATTTGATTTATTCATTCAATATTTGACGAATTCCGTGACATTGCTCGTTACACAGTAAACTTCTGTTGTGTAGCATTTTGAATGTACAAAAATTATTGGAATAAAAGATAGATTCATGTTTTTCCTTCATTTGATTACCAGAAAAATGAAAATACACAACAAAGAATTTCTAAAAAAAAAAAAAAAGTAAATAAAATAAAAATTTCATAGGGCTCTATTATTGTATACAAATTAATAAATTAAGTTGTTTTCGTGAATTCGATTAATTAGATATGTTTTTGATTAAACCATTAAAATGGAATACAGAAAAATGTAAATGGAAAGCGCAGAATTTGGACCCTAAGAATGTAATTTTTGTTAAACTTCTAATAGGCCCAAATTGCTGCTAAATTAAACAAGTTTCATGATTTTAATTAATTATACATGTTTTTTGTTAAAAAATGTAATATAATCATCCAGAAAAATTCAAACGAAAAAAAAACTGAATACAAAACAATTAAAAGGAAAAAGTTAAACTTAGGCTAATTTGGGAAAAATAAAGTACATTTATAATTTCCTTCAGTTTAATTTAAATGTGCAATTAAAAAAAAAAAAAAAAAAATGTATATTTTAAAGTTTAGAATTAGACAATTGCATAGTGAAAGTTACTTCAAAGCACCACCTAGTGTCCAACCTACTCTAATACTATTAAAACCTGTTTAAATGTGAACAAGGGATTTACAACATAAAATAAATCCTTTATTTATAACATGTACATGAAAAATCTAAAAGATTAGACACAACTATGGGACACGGTCGTGCAGCAGCGAGCAACAGTGAAAGGAACCTCAAGGTTGTAAATGTGTGAAATTGTATAGGGCCACATTCCTGTATTTTGCCTGGGGCCCCCAAATCATTAAATCCGCCCCTGCCCTGATGCATGGGTGGCACCGTGGCAGATACACGTCTTGGGAGCAACACGTTGCGTGTGAACTCTAATCGCTTGTCACCTAAATAACCTCCAGAGATATGCTTTGAAGTTGATGCACATCTGTTTGTTTTTCCTATGATTTAACCAATCAGAATCATTTTTAACTAAGTAATAACATCACTACACTCCCCCCCACACACTTTTAATAGCACGTAAATTCGTCCCCCGCACTTTTTCGGGCAAGTGTGTTCGCATAGATTTTCAAGAGCCGGTGTGAATAAATATAGATTTCAATTCAAAGAGACAGGATAGTCTGTGCATGATCTGATGTTTTATTTGGACCCAGAATAAACCGAGATGAACATCACAGAGCGCTAAACACTCATGCAGTGTATGTTTCATTCATACCCGAAGCCACGCAGAAAGTCGTACGAGGAAATTCCTAATATGGACAAAAGCGTCCAGCTATTGCTGTATGAAAACAGTTGTTTTCACAGAAAACAGAAACGTTTGGAAACATGAAGACATTAAACATACGATTGTGACAATATGGTTTATTTGTGTTTGTCAAGTCATCTCCAGGTAATAAATAAAGTATATGAACAATGCAGTGCTAACTGACATAGCATTTATTATAGTATTGAAACTATTCTGCCTTATTATGTGATAAAAAAGTGTTTGTAGTATATAAGCAAATCATTATTGTTGTTATTGTCCAGCAGTTATCTGAGTTCTAAGCCAATTAAAAGCTAGAAATGAGAGAAAAATGAAGGTTGACTATACACCAGTCAAAAGTTTTTGAACAGTAAGATTGTTCATGTTTTTTAAATAAGTCTCTTTTGTTCACTAAGCCTGCATTTATTTGATCCAAAGTACAGCAAAACAGTACAATTTTGAAATATTTTGGCTGTTTTCTATTTGAATATATTTTAAAATATAATTTATAGTGATTTCAAAGCTAAATCATTACTCCAGTCACACTATCCTTCAGAAATCATTCTGATATTCCGATTTGCTGCTCAAAAAACATTAATAATAATAATAATAATAATTAAAAAAGGTTTCTTGAGCAGCAAATCAGCATATTAGAATGATTTCTGAAGATCATGTGACACTGAAGACTGGAGTAATGATGCTGAAAAGTCAGCTTTGATCACAGGAATCATTTTAAAATATATTCAAATAGAAAGCAGTTATTTTAAATAGTAAAAATATTTCACATTACTGCTTTTGCTGTACTTTGGATCAAATAAATGCAGGCTTGCTGAGCAGAATAGACTTCTTTATAAAACATAAAAAAATCTTACTGTTCAAAAACTGTTGACTGGTAGGTTGTATAGATTACAGAAATGTTATATTGTAATGTTTTATATATATATATATAAAACATTTCTGTCCCCCTCACTTCTGAAATGATGGCTACACCCCTGCTATACTCTAACAGAGGTTAGTGACCTCTGTTAGAGTATAATTACTGAAAATGCTACAGCCACATGTGCAGAATCGAGTGCATTTGGTTTCGTTTTGAGCAAAAGGCAAAAGTAATTAGGCTTGTTGTAACTAAAAAGTGAACTATTCAGTAAGATAGCAAATTATTATGTCAAGCAATTCAAATGGGAAGGGGGGGTAACCATGTTACCTGGTTTGCTCACGTCAGTCAGTGGAGTCAGTCAGTGACGCTTACATAATAAAAGGAAAGCATCTGGTAAGTGTAAATAAAGCTCTTTATTCAGAATTATGGGAAGTAGTAGATCATTGATGCAGTACAGTAGTTTTGCTGTCACAGTGATACATTTCAGGCATTTTATTTAATAATAAAGTATCTTTCCATAGCAGCAGTGGAGACTGCTGATAAATTTGGCTTTCGCAATATATCTCCCACTATGTTCTTTGTATTGTTTATATTTATCTTGTTATTAAAAAACAGTGAATTCTAGTAACCATCAGAAAATAAGAGTGCAGTTAGTGACTCGTGATTTTGCAACTTTAACCACACCCTCTCCACAACCCTCTCAGCCAACTCAATGTCAGTGAACCTAAACA